GACTTGCCCAGGGTCACACGTCCATCTGAGATTGGACTTGAACCCAGGCCTTCCTGGCTCCAAGGTGAGCTTTCTATCCACTGTGTCAGTCTGCCTTGACTGACACATGATAGATACTTAAATGTTTGTTGATTATGCATATAGTAGGCATTTAATAAATTTTTTAATTGAATTATAGCCTCATAACATGGAGAAAGGCAGTTAGAACATTCCACAGTTAAGCTTGTCAGAAACCCTGCTTAACATTTCTAACATATAGAAGGTAAGAATTCTCTAATTACTTTGTACTCTTTTGTACCTTATTTTCATCTAAGAAAATCATTAACAACTCTGAAATAATATAGAGAGACAAACTTTAAACTATGATTCAGAAGTGAATTCAGAAGTGACTAAGTTTGATCTTGTCTAGCCTGTGGCTAAAAAGTATGACATGCTTATTTTGAAATATCTTAGTGTTTTGAGGAAATACAGCAGAGCCTTTATTACAATCTTGATTTCATTTTTCTCTCTCAGTACTATCACTTGCAAGTCCATGGTACCACGCCAGGCATCAAGGAAGCACCTTCATCATTTTCCAGTTGTGTTGTATCTTTTATTTCAACTTAGCATATTTGACAAGTTCTTTCAGGGAGTAAACTAAAGAAATCAATCTTACTTACAGTCTAACATGTTATCGTAGATATACCTTATAGAAAATAGTCATTAAGAGGAAAGCAGAGCTATTGATACAACTTTCCCCAAAGAAAAAGGGAATTTAACAGGTGACCTGTCATTTTTCCTTTACAGTGTTGTTCAGAGAAACCCTTACTCTCCTCTCTCCTTCTAGGGGACAGCAAGCCCCACATTAAATTGTATTATTATAGGATCATAGATTAAAAGCTTGAAGGGATCTCAGGAGCCATCTGGTTCCAATCCATTTTACATATGACAAAACTGAAGTCCAGAGAAGCTGTGACTGGCTCAAGGTCACATGGATAAGTGTTGAGGCAGGATATGAACTTAGATTCTTTGACTCCAGAACTATAGTTCTTTCCTCTATATTATGATAAATTGTGTTTCTCAGTGCTGATCAGGTGGTACGGTTTTTATCTAGGCTTTATTTTATTGGTGCTCAATAAAATACCTGTGGATTAATCATTGAGGTGAAAAACATTGTCTTTTAAAAACTCACTTATAATAGAGGCAGGGTTAATTTGGAAGTGTTAAGGCTTAAGGCAAGACTATACTACCACTACACATAGTAGTCCTCAACTGAACTAGTATTTATCTGTTCCTATTTTTCTTAAGTTGCAGCCACAGAATCACAGACTTTGAAAGTTGAAAGGGATTCATCACCATTTAGTCCAACCTAGTCCTGAAAAGGGAATCCTCACTCTGCTCTACTTAAGAAATGGCCATTGGAGCTTCTGCTCTTTGTTGAATACAGCTAGATCCCAATTAGTATGAACAATGAATCCCACAAAGGAGTCCTATTAGTAAAATTCAGACCGAATTATTTCTATTGGGCTGAAACAAATGACTGTGTTTTACATAATTATAACTTAAAATGTTATAACTTAAAATATTTTACATAATTATAAACTTAAAATATTAAAGTATTATTAAAAATAAATGGAGTTGAACTAGATGGTTCCAAGGTCCCTTCCAGTTCTAAATCTAAAATATTAATGACATTTAAATACTTGGGACCACTTTACAGGATTTATTATTTGAACTAATCAGGACCTTGTTGTATATTAAGTCTGCTCAAAGGCCTGAATTCTATTGTTTTAACTGAAGAATCCCAGAAGAAATCAGCCTTTATTTATGCATGACACTGGGCTGTTCTTTGCTGAATGCCAACAACTCGTTGCATTGGGGCAAGGAACTCAGTCATGTAATTGCAGCTGATCTTTCCAGAGCTGTGAAAATTGTGACCTAGGATTCTCCTGCACAGGCAAGAAAACAAGAATGTAAGTTTCCTCAATTAACGTGGTTTATGACCACGTCATAGTAAAGCTAAAGTGTGCCAATGGTTTCCTGTAGGCAACACAGCACTTTGGAAACACTAAAGTAAAATAAGGGGTTCATTACTAATTCTGAGTTTGATTGGCATAGGAAAGGTGAGACATTAGACTATATGACTTCTATCAGATGAGAATTTTATGTGAACTGTGATTTTTTTTCCTTATTGGTCACTACTTTTTAAAATTTAAAAACAATATTTAACATCATCAGCTACTTTTCTGCCTGTAAAGAAAAACCTTTTACTTATAAATCTTCAGGAATGACTTAAATCATGTTATGGGGTTAAATACATGAAATATTTTAAATGTCAGTAACTTCAAAGAGTCCCCAAACTAAATTTAATTGATGATACAAATGCCTGTGGCAGCATGTAGCAGACTGGAGTCTTGTCTTAAATAGGTGATAAAATGGTGAATTATAGTCCTTCTTGTATGACTTAATTGTTAAAGAGAGACATAAAACAGACTGCTCATGTTAATATTAAAACCCCTGTGCTTGTTTCCCTCTCTTCACCCCTCCCCCAATCCTTTTTGTTCTAATCTGCAGACTAATGTGTTTAAACATAACTGGCCTAGGAATGACAGCTGACTTTATTCCTATTTAGTAATTTATTAGTCTACAATCTTGGATAAAAATAGCCTAATCTCATAGGAGCGTAGAATTAGAACTTGAAGGACATCCAATCCAACGTCCTCACTTTACAGATGAGGAAACTGAGGCACAGAGAGATGAAATGATCTGCTCAAAGTCACAGGCAATTTTCCCATTCTATAGCATAAGAACAAATTCTGAAACTTGTTAGGATATGTATTAACACCCAAAAAGCACTAAGAACTTCTTGGAGAAGTAGCAGGTGATACAATCCCTTTATAAAGTTTGTCTTTCAATTAAAGTGGCCTGTAGCTTTCTGCACCCTGATGCTCCATGCCTAGAATGCATCTTAGAATCCCTAGTTTCCTTCAAACCACAGCTCACATGCTACTTCCTACACAAGTCCTTTCTAAGTTCAATTGCTAGCAGTTACTCTGCCCTGAAATAACTTAGATATATCTGCTATTTATTTAGTGGTGGCTCATGCTTTCTTTTTCCTCCCTTCAGCAGAAAGCAAGCAACCTGAAGGGACTATTTTGTCTTTGTGGCCCCAGCATATTTAATAAATGTTTTGGTGCCTTGCTTCTCCCTAATGTGCCTATATTGCAATACAATTATCCCTTCCACATCATGAGAGTTAGGGGCGGGGTGCCCTTGTGATCTGGAAAATCCATGTAAAATTTTTTGGTCCTCCCTTCATACCACTGAGGAAATCTGAATTTTTCCTTTTTCTTTTATTAGGTGTTTACAGTACCTTATTGTAAAATTTGGGTTAAGTATTTGGTCATAGGCTATATGTAGGTCAATGTTAGCTAAAAATAATGTATGAAAAAGAAATTTCTGAGCTTCTAAACTTTTTCTGTGTTGCCTGCTGGCCTTTTTTGCATGTCTTCTGAAGCTTCCGTGGACCCGCAACATATCAAAATCACAATGGGGAAAGTTGCATTGTGGAAGGGATAACTGTACTATTATAGTATTTAACACTCTTTAAGGTTTGAGGAATATAGTACTCTTCTTATGCTATTTACCTCAATTATTCATCATGAAACATTATTTCTTCAATTTGAATATTCCCTCCACTATTGAGACAGAAACCTTTCCATGACTTAGTAGATGGTCTTCATGAGCAGCTTTGGCCAAAAACAAGGCATCTGGTGGTCAACAAGGGGATTTGAGTATCAGACTAAAAAACAAAAAAAGTGCCAAAAATTTTTCTTACTAACTTATTACAAATGCAATTCAAATTTAGTAAAGCGAACCTGTAAAAAAGGATTAACTACATTTAAAAATCTGAGCAGTTTTTCTGCTTTTTTTTTCCAGCAATAAGTAGTATCATTAAAGTACATGTGGCAAAAATCCTCCAATTACTCATTTGAGATTTCTGTATTCTATATTTCTTCCTCCAAGGCCAGGCTTCAGTTTTTCCCAAGCATCTTGGGTTTAATTCATATCCCCAATGCTACTGTTTTTAACAATGAAACAAAATGGTATAGAGTGGCAGTCACAAGACTTTACTTAAGACAGTAGTGATTGTACTTAACAGTCTCATTATGCATAGTGGAAGGGGAGCAGGCAAGGAAGGGAACTACTTCTTTCCAGAGTTACACCACAATGTAATTTTGAACCAGAACAAAATAGGAACTCAAGAACTCTTGCAGGAGAGGGCTTAACCTACACCAAGGTAAAGATGTAGATTGGTAGAAACACCAAGCTACAAGGCCGTGTTGGGCTATTTCCCAAAACAGTATTATTAGCAACACTACATCATCTTTCCCTAAAGGGGTAGCCTGGTACACTTGTAGGGGGAATTACATTTCATAGTATTTGGTATACTGATTGCAAAGATGATGAAGCAAGTTTACTAGTTCTATCCTCTGAAAGCAATTGCATCCACGCACAGCAGGAGTATCCAGAATGTAGCTGCCACGGCCCTCAAGGCAGCATGGTGTGGGGGAATGGTCAGGACATCCAGGAAATCAATTCCTGGCTGTTACACGGTCTCTCTGTAGTTGTTTCCTCATCTGTGGATTTTTAAAAATGTACTATCTTACCCTATGGGGTTGTTATAAAGAAAGTGCTTTTTTAAACCATAAATAATTATATAAATGTGAGAGTTAAAGTACAAAGCACAGTCAGCCAAGGTCCCAATTAGTGCGAATAATTAATCTGGTGAAATACTACCATCATTCAAATTCACAATGTATATTTCCATTGGGTGGCACTAGTTATTATAATCATAATTTCAAATAGTACAGATTTGAATACATGTGCCCACTTCACAGTATTCATTATTCTCACTAATCGAGACCTAGCTTTACGTACAACCAAACATAATTCCAACATAGTTTCTCCACTCCACCCCCATTTGATTAAATTAAGCCAGTCAATCCATACCACACAGGAAAACTAGTTGAGGGTTTTATTTATATAAAATTCATTATTAAAGAACATAAAAGATCGAGTTTTTCCTTAAAAAATCTGCAATTATTTACAGCAGTATTGCACAAGTAAGGTGACAATTACCCTGTCAAAAATTCATCAGTGCAAAACACAAGTAAGCCAGGGAAATTGCAATAAAAATGCTACATATGCTGGGTCCTATGAAACAAAGTAAGTGATTAATCAGTCTAAGTTACAGATCAGTGCTATGTACATAATGGTACCTGATGAGTATACAGTATTGAAACCAGGGTACAAAATGTTTAGATCCTCTGAAATCCAAAAAAATACCTAAGTAGTCAAGTTATTTACATGGGAACTTGAGGGTGCTTCTTGTGTAAGGAAATGTGTGCATGTGTAAATATCAAGTTACCTGTGCGCATGCACCAAAGCTCCCATACATCACGTGTATGAGTGCTGAGTAATAGACGCACATATAGGCACCAGGTTAAGCTGCAAAGGTAGAGCTTTTTGCTTGTTATATATGGAGCCTATCAGTAAATACATTTTCTTAAAATGTTCACAACTTAGCACATCCTAATAGCCAATTAAAGATTTTTCATTTGGACTCAAAAATAATCTCTTTTGAGGGAAATACAAATTAAACCAAGGCCAAACTAATAGGTATATAGGAATGCTGTGGATTACTATTCCATTGAGGGGCAGGCAGAATAAACCATGTTCCAACTGCAAAGTAAACCACACAAGGAAGATTTAAAAACAAGTAAACTTATACCCCATCATCAGCTTGCTACCAGTGAACTGGCGGGGGGGGGGGGGGGAGAGACAAAGTAAAGAGACAAAAACATAGGGTTCTGGTCTTGTTTCCTTCCTAACAAATGAAGGAGAAAAAATGCCAGGGGAACCAAGAACGGTAGTTGATCTCCTGCCCACGTATTCCATGGATCCTAGGCTTCGGCAATCTTTACAATCTGATCATCTTTTTGTTTTTCCCAACACTGACAAGTCAGTGGCAGTAAACTTTTTCCAAATGCTAAATATATTTTATACCTGAAGATGGGGCTTAGGGCAAACATAATCTGCTATGGTTTACAACTAGAACAGCTTGGTTAATGCTTTGAGTAGATTCCAGCATTTGGCTATTATCAGCTCCCTCAGCATTAAAAACCACAATTGGCAAAGCCTAAAAGTTTAATAAAAGTAAAATGAACAAGAATGAAATCTGGAGGACCATAGTAGAAAAACCATACAGACAGCACTGAAAGAGACAGTGCGTTAAACTGATCAATCACTCCTGCGTTAAAGCAGATAATCTTGGGGAGGGAAAGGGAATGCATAACTTTACAGAACTCAAGAAATTAAATAAGCAGAAAATAAATATACAATATTCCTACAAGTTACAGCATTATGAAACAGTAGAACACATTACACAAAAAAGAATCTACATATTTACAAATGTAAATTCTAAAAAAAAAAGGTTTAGAAAACAGTGATTTTTACTTATTTACAAAATCTTACAGAAAGGACAAAAGAACCACACACAATTGCACACAGACATTTGGCTCAGTTGATAAGATAAAGTAAAGATTCCTAACCTAATAAATATTCAAATATTTACAATAAAGTAGAAGAGGGGTTTAAAGGGAGGGAATGAGGGAAAATTTTTAGACAAATTTTTATGTCAGAAGAAATTTAAACTGGTTTCTCCACAACCAAAGAAAATTCTTCATAAAGTTTTGGCAGAATAGAAAGGATATGTAATCTGAAAAATTCATCATGAAATTAAGTATTTTGTATTTGCTTATTGCATTTCATTGTTATGCCATGGGAGACTTACTACAAACCCAACGTGGGTAGAGGTTGTCAAGGCACAAAATCTACATTGTTTTCAAAAAGTGGAACTAGCTCTTTCTTTTTTTAAAAAAAATAGTATACCCAAGGTATACTCCTGCAGGAGGCATCGTGATCTCTAAGAGATACAGTACAGAGAAATGTATTTTTCTCTCAAACTCATGGTGCCAATATCCTGTCCTTTACTGCTTCCATAATTCATAGAATTTCTCTAGCTCCTCATTAGCCTTATTTATATCATCAGCCTGAAGCAATGGAGGCAAACCTGTTGCATACAATGCTTGAGGTAAATGTACAAGAAAGGACATGACTCCCCACTGGGGCACTGAGCCAGCAGAGCCTTACAAAAATGTCCTTTTATAAACTGCATTGCTTCCAACTCCCAGGGGAGATGTATAGTTAAAAGAAACAGAAGTAAAGTGCTCCAGTTGTAACTAGCAAATGATCATAGATATCCAAGTAGGGGATTCAGGTGCCAGTTGTAACTAGCAAATGATCATAGATATCCAAGTAGGGGATTCAGGTGGAACCAAACATCTTTGGTGTGTCCAGCAAGGTACACAAATTCTAATACTTTCTGTTACAGTCTCTGTTCATTCTCACAACCAATAGACAATGTGACCTTACTAAATAAGGTTTCAAGACTAATTCAAAAAACTGCAGCTGAGATCCAACACAATTTCTATGACTCTGATTCCAAATCACTAAGAGGGAAAGAAATATCCTTCACTGTAATAGAAAAAATTCTCTGAATACATGGGAAAGATGGATATACCAAAAAGAAAAAGTGTATGTAATAACAAAACCACATATTCAACATATTTTTTCTTCAATTGTTAAGCAGAATTACAGGAACACTGGATTCTCTAAGGGGCAAAAGCAAATAAAATAGCTGTTGGCACTGCTGAATTTTATTTGACAATCCAAAAAGAACTTTGAAACAAAAAGTTGCTCAGAAGGCTGATTTTTCACCATGAAAAAGTAGTGGGGTTCATGAAACAATCCCCCAAACCATCTGACCTCCCTCTCCTATTTGTGGATACACAATGCAAACTCCATGGACCTTTTTTCTTTGAAATCAATTAAAAATAAACAGAAACCTCTTTAGATTCACTCTGTGACTTTCCTAGTCCTGACTTTGTAGCAATTTCAAGATGTAAAAGAGTACAATCAGGAACAGAATCTACATCTAAGGGGAACTGCACCTATCATGGATGAGGCACTGATGACCAGTGCATAAAAATCATTTAAAAATCTACCTGTGAAACTAAAAGGTAAGGAGGAAAATGGCACTCAGAGGCTTAGAGATGGCTTGAGACATTAAATATATTGGAACATTTCATAATTATGCCCAATTGAATTTTTCTATGGTACTGGTGAAACCAGAATTAAACCTGTATTTCCAAAGGAATTTGATTTGGGGGGATGATATCAGGCATCATAGCTTAGTGGGATTCTAAAGAAAATCTCACAGATAAGTCTTTTAAAACTGTCAAGTGAAGGAGCTTCCTCCAATCCCATCTCAGCTGGCAAGGCATTTCCTGTTTAGTTATATCATCGGGCAATCAGGACTGAAACTTTGGTCATGCAATCAGTCAAGTCTCTTTGAGGGGTGACTGAAAACTCTTGGCTCTTTCTATTAAGCTCACCTGGCATTCTACAACTACAGCATTTCATCCCTGCACCAACAATTTATAAAGAGTAGCCAAAAGTCCAACAAACTCACTTATTCTGTTTCTTTTATTGCTACAGCCTCCTCAGACTTTCTGAAGCAAACATCCATTAAAATAAGTTAAAACAAATACTGCCCAGGCTGGTGATCTTTAAAAAAAAAAAATCCAGAATTACTGTCAAGACCAATATGGGTAAAATTATTTTAATTCTATTACATTTACTTTTAAAACTTGGAACCTATTTGTATCTATAGGAATCTAAACTGGCTACAAAAACTGGAAGCTCCCCAAAGAAGACAGAGAGTGCTCGAAGGTAGCCTCAAGTTTGACCCCTTGGACAGTCAATCTGCCACAGATGCAAATAAATTTAAAGAGGGGTTAGGTATTTACAAAGGGAGAAGCATGTTGGTGTAGGTTGACAACCTACTCCTTTTTAACCAGCTCCATTTTATTATGCTGATTTTGGTATAAAGATAGTACAGACTAAAGAGGACAGAATAACAGGGGAGACACATTTCTCCCAGCCAAAGAGAAGAAAAGAAAACTGTACAATAATCCCCCCAAAACAAACTAAGGCAGCTTACAAATTATTAGCCGGCTCAGTTTCCACTGCAGGATATATACATCATTCTCTTTTGAGATTCAGCAATAGGTTCCTTAAAATCTAGTACAAAAATCATTCACGAGTTTGTCAAAAAGTTTCCATTTCCTTTTTGAAAACTTGTTCCTTCTTATTAAAGAAGTTGAAAAACACACCAATGTAAACACCACTCTTGCATAAAATCCTGTTTCAAAGAATGGTGACTGATACATTAAAAAAAATCCATCATCTACATTCACAAGGAACTCCCTTTTATAAAATTTTGTCATGTGATGAACAAAATCCACTTTCAAGTTCATGTACAGGTGTCTTCAAAATGTGGAGTCCTACTGTCCCTTTGTCCTTTGGGGAAAGAAACTGTTGATTGCATAGTAATGATATGAAGTGCAAGTGGTACTTTTACTTGATGACTTGTAGCAAGTAAAAAGTTTCTGTGCACTCCTTGCTTCTCGAAGAAACGTCACTGCATTCTCCAAACAAGGCGGATGATATAACGTAACAGGCGTAAAATAACCATTTGGTGATGGTCACCTGCCGCTTGATAGTTATTATCCAAAAACCCCTGCAACAAATGGAGACAAACCATTTAGTATTGTACCTTTTTGATACAGAATGATTTAATCATCCCCTCCTCCATTTTAAACAGTCTCAAAGTTACACTTAGAAGATCTACTATAATATCAAAGTGAAGGCATTGACACTTTCTTCCCAGCAGTCATTTCTACTTTTTGGTAATAAGTTTCCCCCTCAATAATAAAGTGGTTATTAGGGAACGAGGAACATATATATGCAAAACAAATGTAAAAGACAATACAAATATAGAAAATCCACTAGAGCCCATAATTTTTTCTGGGGGCATGTGTTGCCATCATGCTCTGTCTCTCATGTCAATTATGACAGTCCTAAGGCTCAGAGTGTCATAATGGGGGTGGGAAGGGAGAGAAGTTTAGCTGGTGGAAGACAGAAATTTCTCTCAATTTATGTGGGGTAAACTTCATTGGACTGGGACTCCAGTCTTCCCACCCCTCTCAATATTGTTCCATTAAGTTCTTTAGGGAGTCCCAAGCCCTAGCATGAAAAATACTGGTATAATTTAATGGGGTTTATAACAGATTAAAGAAAAGGGGACAGAAGACAGAGAAAAGAAGAAAAAGTAACTTATGGTATATACTGAGTATTCTATCATTGTCAAAATTGTTGACTCAAAAAAAAAGTTTCAGATTCCCCCCCAAGGGTGAATTCTGGTAGCTATAATTTATTTAAGAAACCAGTGATTTGGTGTAATTTGCCCTAAGAAGCTAAATAAAGCTACAGACAATCTGTGCCAGAACTAATGAACTAGTGAACCTCTAATTGCTCTCAAGTGACTCCACCTGTATAAACACTGTTTGGTCAAGATTGGTGCTCAATATGAACAGAAAAGAAACATAAAGCTACCTTCATTCTTTCCCACCCCAAGGGAAAACTCTGCAAAAAAGAGCTCTTTTTATTTTTTCCAGTGATCATCATTTATTTCAATCTAAGAAACTCCGGAAGCATTCAACAACCTGTTAGAAATGTTAGGGAACACGCAAAAACTATTTTAAGGTTTCCAGAGGCAAATTTGGGTCTTCCAGGGTACCCTCTCCCCTGGGTTGTTTCCACTTTGTAAAATAATTATGTGTTGATAAACATGTGTCTTCATATGCATAAATGCAATCTACAGGTTTCATTGTTAAAAGTATGAAATCTGGCCATTTCCTCATTGAGTAACCCAAAGATGAAACCTAGAATACTATACACAAAGATAATAAATACTCTCTTCTTTATTGCAGCCAAGTGAAGAACATTCTTATTCAGACTCTAGAGATGGTTTCTATTTTAAATGATTCCAATTCACTGTCACAGGACTCACCCTAGTCTTCCACTAGATAGAGTAACTATTCTTAGAGGGTAGTGAGCACCTTTCAGATTTAAAACAATGCAAATCTACACCAGCTGCAACTGGATTTTCTTTCTCTAAACTATTTACATGAGCTCTCAAGCTCTAGTTTGACATAATGGGATTGTGATAAGGCCTGGGCATTTCCCTTTTGCCTCTCCCTAACAAGATGGGAGGAAATCACTTTATGTATGCAATTCCTGTAGAGGCACTCTGTAACCACAGTCTATGATTTTTATCTTTCTGCACACAAGATTGCTTTGTTTTGATTTAACTTTCAAAATTACACTGCTTTTAGTATGTGAGAGTAATTTGACAGTAGGTTAATTTTAAGTTGAAATGAATATTAATAGGCTAAGAGAGACACTTAGTCAAAGTAAAACTAAGATTTACTATAAACTAAATTTGAACTCACTGATAATCTCAAAACACTCATTTGAAGATAGGAAATGTCTGAGTGAGTTATGCCAAAACTGTCCATCATGGAACTGATAAAAAATAAACTTATTTGGTACAAAAGCTAAGAATTTAATTCTGCTACTAGGCAGCTGATTTATTTCTTTATGGCCAGGAACTGCCAATCAACAAAACATCAGCACCTGTCTCCAAAACAAGTGGCTCATTACAAGAAATTATAATAATAATGGTTCATATTTATATCATGGTTTACAGTGTATTCAAAGTGCTCTCTCATTTGTTATCTTATTTGATCTTCACAATAATGAAATGGGGAATATGTATAGTGATGCTATAGCTCCATTTTACACCTGTAGTAAACTGAGAGTCCAGAGAGACTAAATGACTTGCCTGAGGTTATACAGCTGGCAAAAGTAGCAGAGCTGGGGCTCAAAGCTGACTTCAACTCCAATCCCAAAGCTCTTGAAACCATGCCACACTGCCTAGATTAACAAAAATACTGTTACTAAAAGAAGACTTCATTACCCATAAATCAGTGTTCAAAAAGAGAAAAATAATTTTGCTTATACTTAAAGAATAGTGGGAACAGAATGATGGCTGAGTTCAGAGGTGATTAAGGAAATCAATTTTAAAAAATTTTCCTCTAAGTCACAGCACTTTCTGATCTCCATTTAAAGTGTTTCTGGGCAACAAATGTGCTCATACAAATAAATACATGCTGTTTCTGAACAGTCCCAAAATCCTCAAGGTTGCCATGTTGAGAGTTTTTAAAAACAAGATAGTAAATTTATACACATGGATTTGATGAAAGTGAGTATAAACAGGACCCCCAAAACATTGCAAGTAAAGGAATATGATATAATCAGGAAGAGAATGCCAATACTTTCAAAAAGAGAAACACTAACCAGACAATTTAAAACCCCTTAAGCTGGTTTAATACATAATTACATCTGGACAGGATTCAACTTAGGAAATAACCACTTTCAAATCAAAAACACTTACCAGCTCAGAAAATCCTTGATGGATAGCTAGCACAACTGGTTAAATTTGCTAGCTATCTAATGTTTAAGATCCCTACTAAAACATGACTAGATGGTTAAGCATTATGGGGGGAGGGAGGAAAGAAGACCACACCTATGATTTTATCACTCTAGGAAACTCCTGGTGTAGAAATTCCTTCCACCACTGCAGACAGGCAACTTATCTGTAATTTGCAATCTTCAAGAGCTGCTTCAAATACTGAGAAGTGTCTTGTTCACAGTAATACAGGTTCATGGTCAAAAAACAGGACTAAAGCCCAAGCTTCCTGACTCCAAGGCTGGGCCTCTATCTTCTATGTCAAGCTGTCTCTCATATGAATTTTACAGCTTTTAAACTTATTGTACCCAGGCCCGTTCGAATAGTTCTATACTCCAACACTGACAATGTGGATGTGGGTACATACTTAGGTACACCTAGGTACAGAAAAAACAAAACAAAACAAAAAAGGCCCTAAGAAATGTCATCCTTATCATTAACAGGAACTGAAATTTCTGTTCAATCAGGTTAATGGATTATGTAACTAATGACTCCTACTCCTTAATGAGGAGTCATTGTCACGAAAAAGAAGACAGTTACATTTACTTTTTATTTCCTAAGACTATTAATTTTTTCCTGGGAATTTTCTTTTTCAAATGTACTAAGAGAAGCTGCATAGACAAACGTATAAACAAAAGTGTAATCTTCTTACTGAATATACTAAGAAGTGAGGACAGGGGAAAGGGAACAGGAATAAATTTTTTTGAGAGGCAAAGTTAAATATGTAATTTGGTGGGTACCTGGAAGTTTCATATCCACATGCAGTTTTAAGACTTTTAGTCTATCCACAAAGAAAAAATAATAGGATAAAATAAAGTAAAAAGGAAATAAAAGAATGAGCAAAAAGGACTGAGTGGATGGTCACTGCCACCTGATGTATGACTGAAATGGCACTAAAACATTAGAATTTCACAGGCTGACCAAGGCTTTTATATTTTCCTATATAGACCAAACATTTCCTAAATTTTTTATTCACAGACTAATCCACATTAAAAAGCCAGCTGTAATAAATTTATTTTGTCAATGGATAGAGCTCTGACCTTGAAGTCAGGAGGATCCGAGTTCAAATGTGGCCTCAGACCAAACACTTGGCACTTACTAGCTGTGTGACCCTGGGCAAGTCACTTAACCCCAAATGCCAAACCAAAAAAAAAATTATTTTGTTTGTATGCCATCCTTTACATACTAAAAATGCTACATATCGTACTAATATTTTCAAAGGCTGAATCGTATCACTGCATGAAAAGATTATAATACTGGATGAAAAACACAAAAATTTTAATTAAACTCTATTTTCCTATTTACTGACTAAAATAATGTGAAAGAACAAATAAATAACTTGAGGCTTTCCTCCAAAGGCTAATTATCTGAAATTTACATATCTTTTCTCTACCACCACTTTTCATCCCTCCTTACCTTAAGATCAATTTAGCCCTTTATCCTTTAAACTAAAAAATGAACACTTATTCCATCAGACTTTTATTAGCTTTCCTCTTTGGTCCAAATTAGTGGTTCTCCAAGACTAGTACAGAAAAATTATACTATCTATGGTTTTTCTGAGTGAATAAGCATCATTAATAACACAGACTAGATAATCAGGAAGGCACTTTAGCCCTCTTTCTGGCCCAGACCTACCAGCCATCATCCAAGGAAGCAACCCCGATGGAAATGAGGCCAGGCAATTGTTTCTCAGGGGGCTGCAGCCCTTACCTTCTCAATATCCATGGCTACTGAAAACCCCAGTTCTTATCACTAAAAGTGTTTGGTAATGTCAAATGATTCAACATCAGAAATGCGTATGATTATCAGCAGAAATAACAGTAAAGAATTTGATTTACCATCTGCTTTGCTGCTGCCCCTTAGGACAACTTGACCCTTTCTAACTTGCAAATGGAATCAATGTATTGTTGCCTCCATTAACTTGTGAGCTCCTAGAGAGTAGGAACTATCTTGTTTTCCTATGTGTATTCCCAGCACTAAGCATAGTGTACCTAGTAAGCAATTAATAAACGGCTGATTCATTCCTCTTATCCCCCAACTCATTTACTGTCAGTAATACTTATTTGCTCCCTATTTTCCTCTTATACTACAGCTATCTTTTTAATACATCTGTCCTCTCCCCAACTTCTCTGTAATAAACTGTCTTGAAGAGTACCTTAAACTTAGGAGGACCTCAATAAATGTTTCTGGATTAACTGATTCAGTGGTAAGGGGCTAGTTGATGAGATAGCCTTCAATTCTTTACAGAATACTAGCCACCCTTATTGTAAGGAACTCAATGGGAGCTTACTGATTATAGAATAAGAGCTGGCAGAGACCCTTAGACCATATAGGACAACCTCTTCATTTCACAACGGAGGAAATGAGGCTTTAGAAAGGTGAAATGACTTGCCCAAGGTAAAAGAAGTAATAACTAGCAGGGCCAAAATTCAAACCCAAATCCAGTGCTCTTCCCACTGTATTTGGCTACCTCCCTAACAGGAGCAGAGCTAACAAAGCCACCCCCTACTTTGGATCAATGTGTCTTATCTTAGGAACTTGGGGACTTTTTGACATAATTAAAGTCAGTTGAGGGAATATCAATAAGGTTGATGTGAGCAGATATTGCCAGATGGAGAAAAAGACCAAGAGCTTAAATTGCTATTCTGGGTTAAAGTTTTTCACATTCTAATGAAATAATCTCTGCGCTGAAACTGTTAGGACTACAGGAGCTAACTTCCCCAAGAAGGATTTAGGCCAACACTTTGCAACAAAATTACAGATGATGGCTTGATTGACTAGTAACAAATTAAACCTAGTGCTGTTTCAGCTAACTGGAAGCAGGCAGATTCTTGGTCAAAATGGCTCAAAGAAACACCTGAAAATCCAACCTCTAAATGCCACCAAGTTATTCTGTGTCTCTCTGAGGAAGTAAAGCATTACACTATGAAAAAGCTTTCACAAGGTAGGAAATTCTTTAGAGGAGTTGTTGCTTAAAAATTAGAAATATATCTCCTTATAAACTCACTGGTGACTAAACACAGCCCTCCATTCCACCCCATCCCCAACCCCCTTATCCACAACTCTATTGTGGAAAATTAAGGGAAACTCCCCAGAATAAGGTTAATTGGCTCCTGTTATATTTACTTAGAACTTATACCTGGAAGGCAGTCATCAATAAGTAGTAGTAGCAAGAAGGATTTGTTGGGTGTGAAGTGGGAACATGGAAATCATAAATAAGAGGCATGAAGGAGACTTGAATTTGCCGTTGTGCCACTATAATGCTCCTTAATCACTGACAATGTGATATTAATATTAAACATTACTGGTATTTTAACTGTTCCAGAAACTACCACAGTGGACACTGCTAAAAATCAGTAACTCTAGGTTAGTACATTTATAGGCAAAGTTATTAATTCTAACATTCCCCACTTTATGTCTCATTTTCAAGTTTAGTTTTCTTTGTTACTGACATGAGGTCAATAAAGTACCAGGAATTTAACTACACTAATTTATGCCCGACTAACCAAATCAAAACAACATTCTAAAGCTCAATGTGGGGAAGCAACTGCTTAGACAACAAAATAGGCCCTGACCCACAGAGCTGCTCTTTACAAAAGCAGTTATGATAACTATGGATTCTGCACGGCTTTCATATAAATAAACGTGTCTCTCAGAGCTGTCCAAAGTCCACACATTGAGACCTTCTCACACACCCATACAAAACTGTTGCTGTTGGTCACTGAATCAAGCACACATACAACTCTGAACAAACGCTGAAGAAAACTAGATCAACGAAACATGGAAAGAAGCAAAACATACAGATATTTTAGATCCTGAAAGGAACTTGGTTTCACAATAAAATTAGGTTACCAACTAGACTTGTGAAGGTAAAAATCAAATATTACCATCAAGTGAATTAAAAGATCTAGAGCTGTAATCCTATAATCTTCTCAGCCTCAGTCTCTTCATCTGTAAAACGGTGATAATAAATATATGTATTATCTTATAGGATTAAAGAAACTACAAGTTGGAAGAGACTTCAGAGACCATTTAAGTCCAACTTGTACATGAAAAATAACTCTCTGGGAATCTCTAGCAAGTCGTTATTTAGCCTCTGTGTAAAGGCCTCCAACGATTAAGAAACCTCCTGAGGAAGCTCATTACATTTTGCATATCTCTAATTTTTAGCAAAAATTTCTTTATATTAAGCCTAAATCTGTATCCCCATTATTCCGAGTTCTGTTTTCTGGAGCCAAACTAGAAGAATCTAATCTTTCTTATACTTGACAGCCCATAAAATACTTGAAGATGGCTTTTATTCATCCCTACCCAAGACTTTTCTGCTGCTAGACATGCTTCCTAAAAGGTGGTAGCCTAAAGGAAATATAACATTCTAGATGTTGCATAATTTGGGCAGAACGCA